TATATATATATATTTGTAGACGAGTGATCTCTTTACTTTAGGAATAAGTCTATCTAGATTTACTTATTTCAATACTTAATGTTCTACATCAAATTGACGCACAATTATAAAAATATTTTATACGTTAAATTAAACAAATGAAATGCAGTACTAAATAGTTTTTAAATTTTTAAAAAAATTGCAGACTTGATTTATGAATTAAAAACTTTAAATTCAATGGTTGGATCGTTGAAATTTAATGTAGAACATGAGTTATTGAATGACATAAATATAAGCAAATTTCTTTTTAGAATAAACAGATCCCTCCTTTAATATATATATATACCAGAGGTATCTAAGGAAGATCAGGGAGGATCACGGGAAAAGGCGGAGAGAAGTAGGTAGTAGTCTGACTACCATGCAAGAACCAGCAAATAAAAGCAGTAAATGATGCGGAAAAATAAAGTTGTAGAAAATAAATTTAAAGCATAATAACGTTAAAGCCCAACTGCGGCAAAGCCAGACGAAGAGGGCGGAGGAGATGAGAAGAGCAGAATAAGTTTAATACAAAATTGTTGTATTGATTGATTGATTCAAAAGATTACAAAGGCAAGAGAGAAGGAGGAGATTCTCACTCTAACTCTCGTATGCTAAAATTGAATCTGCCTAACATCATGGGCAGAGATGCTATTTATAGAAAAGAAAAATTTACTATTATAACAGTAAGATTGAAATCCCGCTACAGTGAACAGTAATGCTTCCGCTTCCGCTACAGTGAATAGTGAACAGTTGCGGTGAACAGTACCCTTTCGCAGGATGAACAGTAGATTGCTACAGTACCGGTAACTTGACTGGAACTGTTAATCACTTCAAACCGGGTAGATGTTTACATACATTGCTGGATTGAAATGATGTCTATAGACAGTTATGATAATATGAGGTGCAGGGTATTCACAATGTGAAATGTGAATATGTCCACCGTTAAACAAAATTATCATGATTAATATTCAAACAGGTTGATGATTGGTCAGATATCTGCTAGGTTTATACCAAAGCAGTTATTCTTCTTCTGAATTGGTGGCTGCTTCAAGATCAATTCCAAAGCAATCGTCTTCATTCTGGAAATATGATCCTGAAGAAGATGATGGAGAGGAAGCTTCCTTTTTTGGTTTTCTTTTGGAATCTTCCTTCTTTCCTCTAGACGATTCTGATTCCGAATCAGTCTGGAGAAGTTTGAGAATTTGATGAAGATTGGTGGCCAAAGCTTCATCACTTGTTGAGGCAGCAAGGGCCACGAAAATTTGTGCCTTCCTGTTCAGAAACTTGCAAGTCTCTAGGTCAGCAGCTTTTAGACTCTTAGGATTTTTCTGAAACCAAAGAGCCACACCTTGGGTGTTTGCACGGGAAGCATCAAATTGATCCCACCATTTGACTGAGGCTTGTTTGCCAAAGATTGGAAGAAGCTTGGGATTAGAGTTTTTCTTGTACTGGTGTTGCCAGGCCAAGATCCAAGCCAATGAAAACTTTGAAAATAAATGAAGAGAGG